CTTGACACATGGGATACAGAGACCTTTTCAAAATCCAGCCCTGCCATTGCCCTTAAACCCTTCAGAAGCTGCTGGGTACTCTTAGGTTCAAAACAGGCTGTGAAGTCCTGCTTGCCTACCCCTACTGGTCATTTCTTCACACTCCCCTGCTCTCCAACAACTATGGCCTTTTTTGGTTCCTTGAAGATGCCAATGTTCTCTGCTGTCCCAGGGCCCTTGCATATGCTGTTCCCACTACTCAAAATAGTCTTCCTCCCCTCCTCTTTGCCCAGGTAGCTCTTAGACTTGGAACCTTAGCTCAAGTATCACTTCTTTGGAGACAATCCATCTACTTTTAATTATCCCCTGGTCATGTGGTTATTTGAGTAATGCAACTGCCCCCCATGGAATACTTGCTTGTAGTTTCTATGGCAACCGGGACAGTGTCTTATTGAGGACAGTGTCTTATTGAGGACAGTGTCTGTGTGGCTCACACTGATCCCCAACTCCTGGCATTGACTGACATGGTGCAGGGGCTCTATGAGCACTTATTGAAAGAAAGAATGAATGTATGGTAAACAGGATATGGTTCAAAGCCTTCCAGTCTAGTGTAGGTCCAAACCAGGGTATGAATTCTGGAAGGAGGCAAGAAGCGGCCAGCTCCTCTACTGTCTGGAATCCAGCTGTCCTGAGTTTGGTTCCATCAACTCCTGGTCTACATCCACAGTTACTGCAACAGGAACACGTTTATGCACCCTCATAGCCACATATTTACCTTAGATTTGCAAAAACCCACTGAGGTATGCATCCATGTCATTCCTGTGTGGTCACTGAGAAAACACATCCAGAGAGCTTAAGTGAATCGCCCAAAGCCACCACGGTTACTGAAAGCCCAGATTTTAACCTTGTTTTCTCACTATCTCTTGAATTCTACTTCCACCCAAACTTAGCAGCAGCTCTGGGTAACAGTATTTACACCTGTAGGGGAGCTGTGCCCTAAGATGCTGTGCTCTCACGGCGCGGCGCGCAGTCCGGGTGTGTTTGGGCTTCTCCGACTTGGACCACGCGCGCCCTCTCGCGGCTACAGTCGGGGACGCCGCGATTCATTTTCTCCTGGAAAAGGAATGCAAAGTGGCGGTGGACGTGTGAGCCCCGTGTACTCTTGGGTGCGTGTCCCGGGCTTTCTGGGTGCTGTATTCGGCCTTCCGCCTCAGATCTTCTAGCTGCCCCCTCCGTGGGCCTCCGGGCAGTCTGGGCGGCGCCAAGGCCGGCTTGGGAAGGATGTGGGCTGGCTCCAGATGCAAAGTTTGGGGGTTCAGAGGAGCTTGGGGCCTCCTCGCTGAGTCTCGGCTTCCCCATCTGTAAAGTGGGGATGATGACAACTACCCCGTTGGAGCCAAGACTGCCCGGGGCCAGACTGACACCCGCCGGCGCTCTCAGGAGGGTACCGGTTCTCCACATACTGCTCTCCCCAAAGCCCTGGGAAACGTGCACCGTCAGCCTGCTGGGAGACGGGGCGAGGGACACCCTTTACCTTTAATGTCTTGACTAGTACATAATACATATACATCACAACACCAAAATAAATTAGAATTTTGGTCCATTGCTTCTAACCACTGTTTATTAAAATGGTCTTCAGTTAATCTCAGCTGAAAGCTATTCAGGATACAAATTATTTCCATATCAGTTTATCCATTCTTATGTTTCAGGGAATAATTTAACTCCTAACAAAACCCAATTCTTGTATTAAGGATTTTCTTATCTGGTTAGGTAATAGGTAAATTGGAGAAATATATTCGCATTTCATCAGCAGCTTGTTTTAAGGTGATTTAATCTGTTTAATCCCCAGCTTCATTCCAAACAGAGGTGGAGGCAGCAACTGTTTCTTGCTCGCTAGTGTGTGTCAGGCAGAGTGCGGGACGTTGGAGGCAGAGAGGTGAATCAGACAGGGATAGGGAGGGTGGCTGAAATTGTGACTGGGCCACAGGCAATCTTAGCCTTGGTGTGTGAGACCATGTGTTGTATTTGGCAAGGGCTTCATCCTCTGGCCACCTACATAGCTGGGCTCAGCTGTGTCCTAAAGGAAGGATGGACCATGGAGGCTGCGTGGGGGAGCTGGCCCCCTCATTTTATCTCAGCTTCCAGGACAGAGGTTCACTTCCTGCAGTCTCACAAATATTCTGAAGAGTCAAGATTAAAAAGAGGGGATGAGAGGAAAAGAATCAATGAAGAAGACCAGAATGGGGAGGCTGTTGCCAGATGCCAGTTTATTACCTTTATTTCCTGACCGAATTTGATCCTTTGATGTGTGTGGTTCTCCCACCCCATCCCACCCCCACATGCATGCTTATGGCCCCTCTAAACAGAAGGGTGCCTCAGTCCCTGGTCCTGAGGATGTCACTCTAACCATGTTTTAGAGTAGACACTTAGGCCTTTCTTTCTTGTGTTCTCCGCACTCCTTTAGAAAAGTTGGAGCATTCTCTAGACTCTGCAGCATGTTTTCAGAGGCTGTCAATGATCAGATTGGGCAGGGAGCTGTGTGCTGGAAGGAAATCAATAGTGGGTGGGTGTGGAGACTAGAAAGGGAGTGGGAGCTGTTCTCTGCCTTCCCCAGTCATTCAATTATATGGTGATTGGTAATGTGACTGAAACCCAGGAAGAAATGCTCTCCTTTTCCCAGTGCCCTCCTTCAGGCTCTCCCTCTATCATCCAAGTACTGATTCTTTTCCTGGAGTCCAACTCCAGAACAAAGAAATGGAAATGGCCTCTAAATACATAAGAACATGGGTCACTTCATTAGCAACCAGAAAAGCCAATTAAAACTGCAATAAGATATTGAGCAGCTTGGCCATTTTAAATGTGCATAATCCAGCAATTCCGATTCTGAGGATATATCTTAAGAAAATAGTTGAACAAGTGTATCAAGATAAATGTGTGCAGATATTTTTGAATCATTGATTATAGAAGTCCCTCATCAGGGGATTGGTTAATAAATTATGGCTCATATCTAAGGTGGAATGTCATATAGATTAAGGAGCCTCAGGAACAGGTAGCCTCCTGGTTTCCATGGTGTTTCGTTGACACCCATGTGGTCTTGGCCTCGTTTCAGCTCCTGGCACTCCTGACATTCATGGTCAAACCCTGACATCCCCAGCTTTGAGGGTTGGGAATAACCCAGAGGGGAGTACGTAGAGTGTCAGGGAGGATGGGCAGAGATCGGAAGGAAGCAGAGCATTGAATCTACAGCTCCCCCAGGGGTGCAACATGCTGCATGAGGTCTACTCAGAGAAAGCTACCCTGGAGGCAGCCCTTCTGTGGCTCCTGATCTCTCTGGATGACCAAAGGGGTATGATGCTGTGTTTGGCTGAATTCCTGAATAATATCCTGGCAATGAGATGAAAAAGAAAACATTTCTGTCTAGTTGTGCACACGAACAGGAAATCCCAGCACCTGGGGCTGCTGGTCGATGCTGTTGTTTGGGGAACCCAATACCCATCCTTCCTTTCTCCGGCAGCAATGCCAGTTCTTCTTTAGGCAACTACTGTCTCCCACTTCCAGCCTCTGTGGTTCAGGTGAAGCTGGCTCTGCTCTCTGGTTCCAAAGCCAATCCCAGGACTGTCTCTACAAGGCTAGCTTGCAAAACTGGGGCCATCTCTGCCTCCACAGAGAGTTTAAGAACAAAGTATGGGCAGAGTGTGCGAAGCCACAATGGAAAGCACAGGAACACTGTGTTAGTAGCATCTGAGCTACTGTTGTTGCCTGCACTTAGGCCTGGCAGACAGGAGAGGGAGGGGATTCTGGGTCCTGGAAGGAGAGAGTCATATATAGGAGGCTGTCTTGTTGCACTGGCAGAGGTGGGAGTCCTCGAGATTGACTGAGACAAGAAGACCAAGTTGGAGTTGGGATGGGAGATCAGCATACTGGAGCCAGGTGGTGAAGGCAGAGTAGGAAGAGATAAAATGAGAGAGGAGGTCAGTACAGATTTTATTCTAAATGGCCGTTGAATAAAACCACTGCAGAAGATTTTTAATCAGGAGAAGGCAGTGGTCTGATTTACCCTTTTGAAGATCACTCTGGATCCAGAGTGGAGAAATGCATTGTGTTTGGGACAAAAGTAGAAGCAAGAAAAGCCCTTTGGAAGCTGTTGTGGAGGAGGAGGTGGTGGCATAGATGAAGGACCAGGTAATGGAGAAGAGTGAGGAAGTGGGATTCAGGTGCACAGATACAAGTCAAAGGGCAAAGGGGCTTGTGGCAAAATCATATTACCTTGGCTGCTCCACTTTTCTAAGCCTCAGCTTCCTCTTCCAGACAGAGATACTACCCACCTCACAAAGTAAGTTTGACAAGTATGGTGGTAAAGAGTATTGTTTTTGCCAATCTGGATTTGAATCTAAGGTCTGGCAGGTACCAGCTGTTTGACTTTGTGCAAATCAGTTAACAGTAGATTGTAGCATTTGTTAGGTGTTTGCTATGTGTTACCCAAGAGCATCCTCCCCAGACTAGGACACTTTGTTATTACAGTTCACAGGGGGAGGGAACAATAATGGGGAGAGAGTAAGTCATTTTTCTGAGGTCCCCTTCAGGATTTCTGTAACCACAACCACCACATTACCCTAGCTCTTCTATGCTGAAAACTGGGAAAACAATACTGACACTTCCACGTGTGTTTTGGGAGGATTCAAGAAGTGTCCTGGCAAATAGTAGATGCTTGTAAATTATTATTTAAACTATTATTATCATATTTTTTGTGTTTTCCCGAGTTTTGCAGGGAGGAGGCATCACGTGGACAAATCCTTGGATTTAAAAAAAAATCTCTCAGGTAAGGGATAAAAACTGCAGCTGCCGGCTTCTCAGCAGTTACTGGGAGATCGGCTGTGGGGGCGTGGCTTAGAGGTCAGGGCGGGGCCAAGAAGGAGGGCCAGATTTAAGGGGCGGGGCCAAACCCTGAGGGTCGAGGCTTCGGGCAGGCCGGGGAGAGAAGGGGCGGGGCGAGGG